AAAATAGAAAGAAAAATTAGCTAGACATTTTGGTATGTACCTGTAGTTCCAGCTACTTGGGAGGCTGAGGCAGGAGGATTGCTTGAGCCTAAGAGTTTGAGGTTGGTGTGAGCTAGGCTGATGCCACTGCACTCTAGTCCAGGCAACAGAGTGAGACTCTGTCTCAAAAACACCCCCCACACACACATACACAAGAAATCTCTGAAGACCTCAATTTCTCATCTGGAAAGTGGAGCTGATAGAACCAACCACATGGATTTGGGGGGAAAACTAAATGAGAGAATGCACATTAAGCCGAGCATAGCAAGTGGCAAAGTACACTCTCTGGAAGGTCAACACTTATCATCACTTTGGAGAAGTAGATGATTGATGGTCTGAAGGTGGCCGAGAGGCTGTGGCAGGAGGACAAGGAGCGGGCCCCCATGATCCTGCTTGAGGGCATGAAGTCCTTGAGGGTGTGACCAATGCCCTTTGAGGAGGGCAGAATCTGCTCAACCTCAGCACTTCTGGCTCCCCTAGCAACCAGCTCAATAGGGCAGGGGCAACTCTCCATGCTGATCAAGGCCCAATTCCCAAGCGACTCCCAGTGCCTCATCCCTGACTTCCCACTTCCACTCTTTAGGTGTCAAACCCTATTCCTGCTTCGAGGCCTGGGTCATCTCTTCCAAGAAGTTTTCGCTCCCTCCCCCCATCCCCAGACTAGCAGCGGATCTCCTTGGCTCAATTCCGAGAGCACTCATCATCTTGTGTCTTGTTTCATTCTATGGCTCCTGTTTCAAACAACCTAATTTATTCATTCAACAGATATGTATCGAGTGCCTTCTCTGTGCCAGGTGCTGGATGGCGAGCAAGATAGACTCCCGCAGCTAACATTCTGGTGGAAGAGGTAGACACTAAGCAAATACACAAAGAAATAAATGTGCTGCCAGGTAGTGATGGGCACCTTGAAGAAAATAGAGGAGGGTAAGGGGGACAGAGAGTGAGGGGTGGGTGGGATCTTCTCATCAGAGTGGTCAGCAAAGGCAAAATCCCAGGGACAAGAATGAGTGTTATGTGTTTTAGGAACAGTAAAATGGTCAGTGGCTGGAGTGGAGTTAGTGATGGGCAAAGGGATAGGAGAGGGGATCAGGGAGGGAGGATTTTGATTTTTACTCTGTTATTGAAAACTTGAGTGTTAGAATCTGAATTGATTTTATTGAGATATAGCATAGCCACAATAAGATATATAAATTTTGCATGAACAACTCAATGAGCAAATACAAACACTGTGTGGTGACCACCCCCAGGTCACCATATAGAGCATTTCTATCACCCCAGAGGGCTTCCTCATGGTTCTTCCCAGTCAATACTTTCTCCCATCCCATTGAGTAACCACTAATTTTTTTTTTTGCAATCCTCCTGCCTCAGCCTCCCGAGTAGCTAGGACTACAGGCACGCACCACCACACCCGGCTAATTTTTTCTATGTATTTTTTAGTTGGCCAATTAATTTCTTTCTATTTTTAATAGAGACGGGGTCTCGCTCTTGCTCAGGCTGGTTTTGAACTCCTGACCTTGAGTGATCAACCTGCCTCGGCCTCCCAGAGTGCTAGGATTACAGGTGTGAGCCACTGCATCCAGCCGATCATAGCAGTTTTATTTATTTATTTATTTGTTTATTTATTTATTTAGAGACAGAGTCTCACTTTGTTGCCCAGGCTAGGGTGAGTGCCGTGGTATCAGCCTAGCTCACAGCAACCTCAAACTCCTAGGCTCAAGCGATCCTCCTGCCTCAGCCTCCCGAGTAGCTGGGACTATAGACATGTGCCACCATGTCTGGCTAATTTTTTGTATATATATATTTTTAATTGGTCAATTAGTTTCTTTCGATTTTTTTAGTAGAGACAGGGTCTCGCTCAAGCTGGTTTCGAACTCCTGACCTTGAGCAATCCATCCACCTCGGCCTCCCAGAGTGCTAGGATTACAGGCATGAGCCACCACGCCCAGCCTATAGCAGTTTTATTGATGATAAAAATAAATTGGACAAAAACTCTGTGTCCTTCAACAGGTGAATGGACAAATAAGTTGGGGCATACAATGGAATACCATGTGAGCTAGGCTGACAGCCACGACAGTGGAATTCATACAATGGAATACTATATAGCAAAAAAAAGGAACAAAGGATTGTTACCTGCATGAATAAATCTCACAGACTTAACTTTTTTTTTTTTTTTTTTGAGACAGAGTCTCACTTTGTTGCCCTGGCTAGGGTGAGTGCCGTGGTATCAGCCTCGCTCACAGCAACCTCAAACTTCTGGGCTTAAACGATCCTCCTTCCTCAGCTTCCTTAGTAGTTGGGACTATAGGTGCACACCAGTATGCCCGGCTAATTTTTTTTCTATTTTTAGTTGCCCAGCTAATTTTCTCTATTTCTTAGTAGAGATGGGGTCTTGCTCTTGCTCAAGCGATCTTCCTACTTTGGCCTCCCAGAGTGCTAGGATTACAGGTGTGAGCCACTGTACGCAGCCCAGACTTAAATTTTCATTTATTTTATTTTCTTCTTATTATTATTATTATTATTTTGAGACAGAGTCTCACTCTGTTGCCCAGGCTACAGTGCCGCGTGGCGTCAGCCTGGCTCACAGCAACCTCAAACTCTTGGCCTCAAGTTATCCTCCTTCCTCAGCCTCCCAAGTAGCTGGGACTACAGGCATGCATCACTATGCCCAGCTATATTATTTTATTTTATGTTATTATTTTATTTTTAGGGTTGAGGTCTTGCTCTGTTGCCCAGGCTGCAGTACAGTGTTTCTATCATAGCTCACTACAGCTTCAAACTCCTGGGTTCAAACAGTCCTCTTGCTTCAGCCTCCCAAGAAGCTGGAACTACAGGCAGGTGCCACAACACCTGGGACAGACTTGATATTGAGTAAAAGAAGAATATTGAATCATTATACTGTATTATTCCATGTAAAAGAAGTTCAAGAACAGGGAAAATTAATCTGCCAGGATAGAAGTAAAAATAGTGGTTACTCAGCCGGGTGCAGTGGCTGTAATCCTAGCACTCTGGGAGGCTGAGGCGGGTGGATAGCTCAAGGTCAGGAGTTCGAAACCAGCCTGAGCAAGAGCGAGACCCCATCTCTACTATAAAAATAGAAACAAATTAATTGGCCAACTAAAAATATATAGAAAAAATTAGCTGGGCATGGTGGCACATGCCTATAGTCCCAGCCACTAGGGAGGCTGAGGCAGGAGGATTGCTTGAGCCCAGGAGTTTGAGGTTGCTGTGAGCTAGGCTGACGCCACAGCACTCTAGCCCAGGCAACAGAGTGAGACTCTGTCTCAAAAACAAAAAACAACACACACACACACAAATCTGCTATGATCATTGCTGTATGTGTCTGGTGGATACAAGTGCTAATTTCTCTTGAGTGTACACCTAGAAGTGGAAATGCTAGGTCATAGGTTAGGTGTACATTTAGTTTTAATAGTATTAGCAAGCAGTTTTCTAAAGTGGTTGTACCACTTTACAGTCCCACCAGCAATGTATGAATGTTCCAGTTGTTCCACATCCTCACTGACACTTGATATTGCCAGTTGTTTTTTTTTTTGAGACAGAGTCTCGCTTTGTTGCCCAGGCTAGAGTGAGTGCCGTGGCGCTAGCCTAGCTCACAGCAACCTCAAACTCCTGGGCTCAGGCAATCCTGCTGCCTCAGCCTCTCGAATAGCTGGGACTACAGGCATGCGCCACTGTGCCCAGCTAATTTTTTCTATATATTTTTAGTTGGCCAATTAATTTGTTTCTATTTTTAGTAGAGACAGGGTCTCGCTCTTGCTCAGGCTGGTTTCGAACTCCTGATCTTGAGCGATCAACCTGCCTCGGCCTCCCAGAGTGCTAGGATTACAGGCGTGAGCCACCGTGCCCGGCCTTGCCAGTCTTTTTAAACTTAGCCATATGTGATCTGATTGGGGTTTTTGTTTGTTTGTTTACTTGTTCAGAGACAGGGTCTCTGACACCCAGGCTGGAATGCAATGGAATCATCAGAGCTCATTGCAGCCCCAAACTCAGCCTCCTTAGTAGCTGGGACTACAGGTGTGCATCACCACGCCTGTTTAAGAGACAGGGTCTTGCTATGTTGCCCAGGCTGGCCTCAAACTTCTGGGCTCAAATGATCCTCCTGCCTTGGTCTCCCAAAGCACTGGGATTACAGATTGGGGTTTTAAAAAGAGCACCCTGGCTGTAGTGTGGAGACCCACTGGTAGCAGCTAGGAGTGGGTTGGAGAGAGGAAGCCAAGAGACCCGGAAGGAGGCCAGTGTAGCCATCCAGGGAAGATATGAAGGTGGTTTGGACTAGGATGGTCATAGGGGAGCCATGGAGTGGCTCAGTGAGCATATGCTCTGGAATTGTAGCTGATGGGACTGGCTAATGAGATGAATGAGAGACGGGAGAAGGAGGCATCAAGGTTGAGTCCTAGATTTTTGCCTTGAAAACCAGGGTGGATGAGAGGACCGTTTTCTTAGATGCAGAAGATTAAGGAAGGAACAGATGGGGGTCAGGGAAAGATTGAGGACTTCTTTGTGGCTATTTGAGTACATGCTGCCTGCTAGAACTTAGGCTATGATTACAGCCTAGCAGTAGACTCTGTGTGCCCCATCTCTTAGTAGAATTGGTAAATATCAGTTGTGTGGATCGTGCATGCCAGCTGCAGTGGACAGACCTGGGTCAGGGGACCAGTGCTGCCCCCTCCCACACCTTGTAGCTTGGACCTTATGCTGGGACCACTCAGCCTCTGTCTTCTACCTTACAGAGTTAGAATGAAACGAAATCGCATATTTATACCACCTGGAACACGAGAGCACTAACACATCCCAGCGCTATGTGAGGCTGGCACCTTTTCCTCTCACTCACTTTTTTAAAGGCATCCAGAACAGCCCTGCTGAGGCCTGGGAGCACTGAAGCCACCCCGCTCCCCTCCCCCAGCCCTTCCCCAGCCTCAAAGGAACAGAATGGAGAACAGCAGGCGGGTTGATTCATAGACTTTATCTGCTTTTTCTCCACCCAGTGGTTTCTGCAATGACAACTGAGCCTGTACAACACGCATGGTTCACTCTGTTAAAGCTGTGGGGCACGGAAGGGGGCTGGGGGGCCCTGGGCACAGCGTCAGGGCACAGGGCGAGTGGCACCCAAGACTGGGCTGGTGGGTCCCGGCATTCAAGGAGGGTAGGGGAAGCTGGAGTGAGATGGCTGCTGAGAGCTGAGGAGGAAGGGCGGGAAGTCAGGGCTGAGGGCACAGGACAGGCATCATCAGCAGTAGCAGGGAGGCATCGGGGAGCCGGAGGGCGGAGGGGGGGTGTCACAGCGCCTGCGTATGTCCATAGACATTTTTTGTAGCAGGAAAAAGACAGACTGCTGTATAAAAGGGACTGTACAACATTACCTATTATACAATGTTTACATATGATACAAGGCTCTTTCCCTCTTTGAGTTTTAAAAAATAAATTTACAATTCCAGAGCTTTGGGTAAAAAATATATACACCCTTGGAGCAGGAGCAGCCGCGGCTTTTGCTACTGCTGCTGCTGCTGCTGCCTCTTCAAGAGGGAAAGAGGAGGTGCCAGAAAGGAGGGCGAGGCTGCACCAGGAAACCTCACCCAGTAGCTGCCAGGAGCCCCTGCACCCCTCAGCCCTGGAGGCCCATGGTGGGAGGAGGAGGGAGCAGAGGCAATAAAGGCCTTGCCAGAGTCCAGTTTCGCCTTTATGGTCTCTGCTATCCCCCACCCCCACTTTTGGGGGGGCTGCCTGCCCCAGTACAGGGATCCACTCCACCCCAGCTCCACGGGGAGGACAAAAGGGAAGTCAAGACAGGGAGAGGGACAGAGACCATGTTACTGGTGTAGACACAGGAGCCAGAAGGGGATGCCAACTCCCTCCTTAGCAGTGAGACACCCCAAAAAGCAGGAGTGCGGGCAGCAGGCACCCTTAACTCCTGATACCGCTGCCCCCACCCCATTGCAAAGCAGAGGGAGGGTCCTTTAGGCAGCTTAGGCCTGTGTTTCCCTGAGCATCTTTCACCCTCTCATCGAGGTTCACCCGGGGACCTTCGGGAGGCCTGAGTGGGGGACTTGCAAGGGCTGTTGGGTCACTCCTCTTGCCTGCTGCTGCTCCCTGCCCTTAAAGCAGTTTGGCCCACAAGCCTGGGCATGCAGGGCAGCGTGAGGAGCTTAGCAGGGAGTGGTGGGGGTGGGGGAAGCACCCCGCACGTCCCAGGGGCAGAGTAGCACCGAACAGAAGGACCCCCAGCACACACAATACCACCCCTCGATTACCAGATGCACTCCTGCTCCCTAAAAGGGGACACACACACACACACACACACACACACACACACACACAGAGGGTAATATAATATTCACAGGAGCATATCCAGGGGGCCCAGCCCTGACCAGGGAGAAGCAGGACAGGTGGACAGGGGGTGGAGGAGAAGGCTGCCGATCCCTCCCACAATTCCACTCTGCGAGATGGGTGGGTGGGCAGCTTTCTTTCCTGCTTGGGAAAAGGAAGTTAGAAACTTCACGATGGGAGGGGACAGAGGAACTCTACCCCCTTTCCCAGAGAGGGCAGGAACCAGCAAAGTGTGGTCTTGACTTGAAAGAGGATGTCAGCAGGATGAACAGGCTTGTGAGTCCAGGGCTAAGTCCATCCAGCTCTTCCCCATGGGGTGGGAAGTTGCTCCGGGGAAAGATGTCAGATGTGGGTTAGGGCATCGTTCAAAGTGCTTGAGTGCCAGGTGCCCAAAGACCCTGGTGGGGGCTGACCAGAACCTCCCTTCTCACTGACTATTTGCCTCCAGCTTGTAGGAGAGCTCGAAGAGGAGGTTCTGGTTGTCGATGACCTGGAACTGGCGCACGTAGGCCTTGGTCTGCAGGTGATGAGGGGATGCCTCCATGTCCAGGCCTGGGTGTAAGACAGGAGAGGCAGTCAGGTTCCCAGCCTCCCTTTGTCCTCTGCACACTCACTGGGCAGAGAATAAGGCTGTGGAATGGGACAGGTGTTGGGAGGAGGGCCTTTGGGGAGGCCAGGGAGAGAATGGAGAACTGACAAGTGTACAGAAATCCATATTTGAGCAGGGAGTTCTCTACCTGTAATGCGCTCAGAACCCTGGGTACTCACAAAGCGGCCGGCTCCGGTATTTGCGGATTGTCCTCACTTTTTCAGCCACTGAATGCTGGGAGATGACAAGGAATGAGCCCTGAAAAGGGCACAGAAAGATGCTCCCCCTTTTCCGCTCCCCCTCCTCCATTCACCAACTCTTTTGGTTTTGCTCCCTCCAGTCCCTCTCTGAAGGACCAAAGGAAGGGGTGTAACAGGGCGCCAGGCGAGGGGGAGGCAGAGTTGCCCCCAAACTGCCTGTCAGCTTTGCCACTTGTGGGTGGGTTGCCACAGTGATGCCACCAGGGAGACAGTCAAGAGTCTGTTAGGCAAGCTGGGCACCATGGAGGAAGGCTGCTATTTTTAGGGAGGTGACAGGAGAGAGGGGGAGGATGCAGGCCCACCACTCATGGGACTAGGGGTTGGCAGTGCCACTCACCAGCTTCTCAATGTTCACCAAACCATCCACAAGGGTCTTACTCCCCTCATGCAGGAATGTCAGGTCTAGGGGAGGAGGAGGGAATCCGGTGTAAGGAAAGGCTAAGAGAAGAGGACCTTCCCCTCCCGCAGAACCCACTCCAGTCTGGGGGTGTCCCTCTCCAGGCGGGCACTCAGGGCTAGTCAAGAGGGGACTGAGAGAACTGGGCCATAGGAAAAGGAGAATGTAGATAGAAGAGCCACAACCTGGGAGTAACTCTCACCTTTGAGGATCAGAGGCACAAAGGGAATCACGGGGGGCTTCATTTTAGAGATCACTTCTCGGTAGCTTTTGTGGTTCCTGCAGGGGTCCTAGCATTGGACAGAAGAGGGATCAAAGGACAGATGGGCCCATTGTACCCAGAAGCCATCCCCCACCACCCTCCCCCGTCCCCCTGCCCTACATACATCCCCACCAGACAAGGATGTGTGTAAGTGTCTAGCTGGGGGTGTGGTGGGGAGGAGCTTGACTCCTCCAGGGAAAACAGGGTAGCAATCCTTCCACCCTTCCCCTCCCAGCATGGTGGGGAGGGTGGGAGTCCCAGGCACTAAAAATCTTGAAAAGGAAGCTTGAGGAAGAGAGTTTCTGGGAACAGAAGGTTTCTGGGGTGTAGGTCCAAAGATAGATGAAAGAGCCAAACCCACTCACTGTCAGGTTCTCAAATTTGCGGAACAAGTTCTTGAATTTCCCCGGCAGCTTCTGCAGAGAGTTTGAAGGAGGGAGAACGGACATCAGAGTAGAGCTTCTTGGGTTACATGGGAGCTCCTGACTAATCCCAGGTGTTAGAGAGGGTAAGGGTCTGCCTGTCTTGCGGTGTGTGTGGGGGGGTGGGCAGTAAGGTGGAGGAGCTAGAAACAGTCCAGAGGAATCGATCATTCTGGGGGAAAGCCAGACCTCTGCTTATGCGTGTGCCATGCACAGAGGTGGCCCCACTGAGTGCGGCTGAAACTCAGCCCAACTCCCGCCAAGTCTGTAACCCGGCGGAGGGCTGCCTGCCCCCTCGCAGGTGGGGATCCGGCTTTGCACTAATTTACACAAAGACAGGGTCCATTAGCCACGCTGTGTACCCGCCGTGTCTGCCAGAAGAGGGCGCCCCCTTCCCACGGGCACGAGGACTCCTTACAGGCTAGCCGCGTCCCAGGGGGCGCCCCGGATGCCAAGATCCCCAGATAGGAAAGGGAGGGGTCTCATCACCTCCCAGGTGAGCCGCAGGCGGCTGACGGCGGCGTTATCCAGCCCCATGACCACGGCATAGAAGGACAGCAGGTCCTGGTTCTGCTTGCAGCTGCGGGGTGGGATGCGGGGTCAGCGGGCTGTCTGGCAACAGCCGGTCTAGCCGTGGGCCTCAGCGCCCCCCTCCCGCCGCCCGCCGCACTCACATGGCCGCGATCTTGATAAACTTCTTGAGCAGCTGCGCGCGCTTGCCCGGGGCCTCGCAGAGCAGGACCTCGGTGGCCACCCAGTGCGTGACCTCGCTGCAGCGCTGCAGCAGCAGCTCCAGGTTGGCCGTCTCCCGGCGGCCGCGCTCCCCGTGGAACACGTAGTCCACGAACTCCAGCTGCACCCACGGTGCGGAGGGGCGGCCAAGGCGCCGGGGCGTGGGTGGGGCGGTGGCAGCGCAAGGCGGAGAGGAGGGAAAGGCAGGAGGGCGGGGGCGGAAGGGGTGGAAAATAGAAGAACGAGACAGGATGGGATGCAACAGAGATGGGGGGAACAAACAGCCAACATTAACAATATTCCACGTCTATTGAGCGCTTACTAGGTGCCAGGCACTTGCTGAAGGCTGACTTATCCTCAAGACAACCATCTGGTAGACATTATTGTCACTGTCTTATTTTATTTCTTTAATAGTGACTATTTTATTTTATTTATTTATTTATTTGAGACAGAGTCTCACTCTGTTGCCCAGGCTAGAGTGAGTGCCATGGTGTCAGCCTAGCTCACAGCAACCTCAATCTCCTGGGATCAAGCAATCCTCCTGCCTCAGCCTCCCGAGTAGCTGGGACTACAGGCATGTGCCACTGTGCCAGGCTAATTTTTTTCCTATATATATTAGTTGGTCAATTAATTTCTTTCTATTTATAGTAGAGATGGGGTCTCGCTATTGCTCAGGCTGGTTTTGAACTCCTGGCCTCGAGCAATCCTCCTGCCTCAGCCTCCCAGAGTGCTAGGATTACAGGTGTGAGCCACCTCGCCTGGCCTAATAGTGATGACTATTTAAAAAATACTAACCCCAGGTGAGATTCTGTGTAAGGAGCACTTGGGCCCTGAACCATTCTGCTATAGGGACTCTCTCTTTGCCATTTTTTCAGATGAAGGGACAAAGGCTTAGAGCAGTTATGGCCATGCAGTGCCCAAGGGCACGCTGCAAGTGAGCCTTCTAACAGGACGCTCTGCGCAGATACTGTCTGCCATGGGCACATTTCTCCCTCCGGTCCCCAAGCCCAGCACCCACTTCAGTCCCCACCTCGTGCACACAGCGGAACAGCTCCCAGTGGAAGGCAGTAAGGTGGTTGGCAATGTCCTCAGGCTCCACTCGGTGGATCTCTGTGTCTCCAGGGGAGACCTGGATCTCCTCCGGGAGGGGCACCTGGTGGCAGGCAGGGGTACAGGGGCTGGGCTTCCAGTGGCAGGGCGAAGGACTGCTCACAGACCCCCTCAGCCCTCCCTGCTCCTAGCCAAAGCCTTGGGAAGGAGTTCTTACCAGGGCCTCATAGCTGTCCCGGGTACAGGCAAACAGGTGGCTGTTGATGCCCAGTGTGGTGAAAACACAGTCCTCAGTCGGCTGGAGAAGGACCTTCTCTGCAGGAGAACAAGCTGCTCAGCCTCAGCCCCAGCCACCTGCCCCCTCCCACACCCCAGCACTGTCACCATCCTTTCCAGAAACTCCTAACCCCACAATGACATATTCTAGACTAACGGGACTCATCACCAGTTTATGCCATATTTATCTGAAATTTGTCAAATGATGATTTATTTTGTATTTATAACCTTTTTTTAACCCCTAATGTTCTTTTACAGCTCTTCTCTTATTCTATATTGTCTCTGTGACATTGGAAAGGCAGGAATTTTTTTCCCAACTTAGAGGAAAATAAGGCTGTGGCTACATTGCTGGCTTTATGATTAGTGACCCACCCTGTGTCTTTAGCCTGAAAAATATAGCATCCTTAGATGCACAGAGACACTAAAGGACCAGAACACAATCGACAGGTGAGTGAGGCGGCACTCAGATCAGAACCCGGGAGCTGCGGACCACTGTTCCCAAATTTTAATGTGCATAGGAATCCCTGGGAGTCTTGTTCAAATGCCAATTCTGATCCAGCAGGTCTGGGCTGGGATCTCAGATGCTGTAGTTGTTTTGTTTGTTTATTTGTTTGTTTGTTTGTTTTTTAGAGATGCTGTCTCACTATGTTGCCCACACTGGAGGCCAGTGGCTACTCACAGGTGCAATCATAGCACGCGACAGCCCCAAACTCCTGGGCTCAAGTGATCCTCCTACCTCAGCCTCCCCCAGGTGGCTGGGACTACAGGCATGCGCCACTGCACCTGGCTTCAGATGCTACATTTTTTTTTTTTTTTTGAGACAGAATCTTGCTTTGTTGCCCAGGCTAAAGTGAGTGCCATGGCGTCAGCCTAGCTCACAGCAACCTCAATCTCCTGGGCTCAAGCATTCCTCCTGCCTAAGCCTCCCAAGTAGCTGGGACTACAGGTATGCACCACCATGCCCGGCTAATTTTTTCTATATATATTAGTTGGCCAATTAATTTCTTTCTATTTATAGTAGAGACGGGGTCTCGCTCTTGCTCAGGCTGGTTTCGAACTTCTGGCCTCGAGCAATCTGCCCGCCTCGGCCTCCCAGAGTGTTCAGATGCTACATTTTTAACAAGCTCCCAGGTGCTGCACATGAGGCTGGTTCCAGGACCACACTTTGAGTAGCAAAGGGCCTAGAATTCAGTCTTTACCCCTGCCCCAGGGCACTGAGCTTGTGAGTTTCTCCTCTTCAGGCCATCAGCCCGGTTCTTCCTGACCCTCACCTCCAGAGGAGGCCACAGCTACCAGGATGAGGGATTCCTCACGCCCTGCAGGCTCCTCCGAGTACTGCAGTTTCTCCGTCACAGAGCCCAGAATGTCCTGCACAGATGCTGAAAGGCGGCTACGTATGGTCACATAAGAGTGGTCAGGCATGTAGACCCGGCAGAAGACTGGACAGAGACAGAAAGCAGCTTTTCAACAGAGGGCAGAGTGGCAGCATGGCACAGTCCCCTCCAGGTTACCTCTATTCCCCACCAGAGGCTGCCCTCTGAACAAGGTGCTGTGAAAGTGGTGAGTTCTACTACACAGGGGGACAGCACTGAAAGGTGCCCAAGACCCAGAGACCCCACCTGTCCTCTTGAGCCACTCAGGGTGCCCTGCCCCTCCTAATGCCCACACTCACTCTCATCAGAGCCCCGGAAGGCCACTCGGGTCTGTAGACAGGAGTCTATCCGGCGGAAGTGGCGGAAGAGTGGCTTCACCTGCTTGCTGGGTGGCTGGTTCTCCTCTGGAATCCTGGCAGGGACACAACTGGGCATCAGCAAGCCCTGCCAGGTATACAGAGCACCAGGCAGGCAGCATCAAGCAGCAATATCAGAAGTGGGTCAAGGATGCACCAGCACCAGTTTCAGAAGGTGGTTAAGGGAGTCAGAAGACAGGACAATGACCAGCATGGGACAACTGTCCAAGTGACCCAAATCAAATGCCACTTTTTCCATGAATTCGTCTCTGACCCACCACACCCACCAGGAAAGGTCACTTTCTTGCCTCAACTGCTAAAGAACATTGAGATACTTGTGTTCATGTCTTATCTCTTCTACAAGATCAAGAGCTTTTGAGGACTGGGATTGGTTCTTACTGAATTTTTTTTCATCCTCCAGGGCCTAGCATACTGCTTCGCACATGGTAGGTAGTAGGTCATCAACTGTTTGCTGAATTTTGCCAACAAGAACTTCACAGTCTGGGAGGGAGCCAGACATGCACACAGCTACTTCTAACACGAGGCAGGAGGTGTTGCTGATATAACAAAGGTACCAGGACAGTTATGTTGGTGTGGGGGAGGGAGAAAGCTATTCCTAAAAGGAGGATCTGGGAAGTTTTCATTGAGAAGATGGCATTTGACCTGGACCTTGGAGGACAACAGGAAGAGAAGAGGGTGGAAGAAGGGCATTCTGGGGTGGACAATGTAACTGACAACAGGAAGTTAGTTGGAAAGCAAAGGAGTTAAGAGAATGATGGGATGTATAGGGCATGTCATGGGTAGTGGGAAACAGGGAGAAGAGATGGCAAGAAACAGTAGAGGGCAGAAAGGGAAGGGTGTTGAATGCTATGCTGGGATGTTTAACTTTGTCTTGGAGGCAATGAGGAGCATGGATGCTGATGGCATCATTTCTGGAAGTTTGAAAGATCCCTCTGGTGTCATGATAGAGAAGAGAGGGAAAGGAGAGGACACAGGACCACAAGCTGAAGCCCTGGACAGGAGGCTGCAGCGAATAAACCAGGTGAGAGATAATGAGCCCAAATAAGGGTTGTGCTGGTAGGGATGGAGAGGAGAGAGACAGAAAGGGTGGAAGGGATACATGGATGAATGGATGGACAGATGGATGGCTGCAGTGGTGTCCTGAAGCTGGTTCACACTGGCTCACAGGAACAGATTGTTAAGTTTTGGGGAATTTTGCCAACTGGTTTTCAAACAGCTATGAAAATATATATAAATAAGCATATATGTTTTATAAACTCATCATCAAATAAATTATTACAAAAAAGATAGTTTCCTAATTGTTTTATCTATGCTCCTGGGGTTATTGACGCCTACTATATTTGTATGGTGGAAACACTACAACCCAGCCCGCTACTGCACATCTCTTCCCAACTCTGCATTCAGTGATGTCATGTCAGTAGCTTGAAATCAGCCATGGTGAGAGAATTTACACCTTGGGAATCAGCAAAAGCTACAAACTGGGGCTCTTCCTCCTGAAGCGCTGCTTGTTAAATATTTACCAGTACACCACTGGATTGACAGACAAATTCATGGGAGAGTGGACAAAAAAGTGACTGGAGAGAGTGCTTTGTGCTACCCTTCAGTAAGAGAGAGGAGCTGAAATAAAACAATATTGGAGCCAAAAGGCCAGAGGCAGGCCCTGTAATAGAGGAACCCTGGGGACCACTTTCCTGTCTCCTCCCCCAACTCATTCCCCCTCACTTTAGCTCCACTGTCTCCACGAGCTGGTGCAGCCTCAGAGTGTCCTCTCGGAGGTCCTGGTAAAGGGACTCATCCTTCATAATTAGCAGGTACAGATCCTGGGGAGAGGAGGACAGAGAAGGTGAAGACAGGGGTCTCATCCCAAGGACCACTCTCTGCAACGGCTGGGGTAGGGTCTTCAAGCGTTTGAGCATAGCAGAACCATACAAGCTAAGGCCCACTGGCATCTTTTCCTTCCAGGTACTCAGGTTGGGAAGTATGGCTCCTTTAAAGGGCTCCCCTCCACAGCTACAGAGCTAACAACCTGCCCACCCACCTTCTCTTGCCCCAGGCCCACCTTGATGATGTGGCCGGCCCCCTCTTCCTCCTGCAGCAGCCCCTGGTAGGTGTCCAAGAAATGGAGAAGCATGGCTAGACAGGCTTGTTTCCGGCCCAGCCCCTCAGGGCCCTCCATGCCCCCTGCCCAAACAAAGCTGACCCCTAAGTTAAGAAAAATCTCTGAGCAGGCAGACCTGAGGAACAGAGAAGGAAGGTGCAAAGCTAAATTACCTCCAAATATTCTCTGGATTTGGGGCCAGAGAGAAAGGAGATTTAGGGATCCTACCTCCAAGACCTGCTCATGCCCCAGACCAAGTTTTTGCTTAGAGTAGTTAACAGTGGCACCCACTTGACCACATCCAGCTCTTGTCTGTTAGATTTGAGGACGCCCGGCCCTGCCCAAATGCATCTAACCTCTGGCCAGCCCAGGGCCCACAGCTCACAGTGCAGCTGATAAAGGCTGATAGTGCTTAATGAAAATCTGACTGTACCTCATTGTAAAGCCTGATGTTTCTAAGAGGGCCTGTGACATTCTATTCAGTGGCCTGACATTTACAATTAGGTCCTAAAATAACTCAGTGGGAGGGCCTATGCTAACATGAGACCCTACGAAGAGCCCAGACAGTGGCTCGTCTCTAGCAGACCCTCCTGAAGCACAGCCATGGCCTAATGTTTACATCAGACCCTATAATAACACACTTGGCAACCAGATATTTAGAGCAATAATTCAGTGGTGGGGGTCGGGGAGGAGAGGCACCTTAATAGAATAATAACACCTTATATTCACACAAGGCTCTGCAGTGTCCAAAGTACTCCCACAGCTGCTATCGGATTGATCTTCACAGCAGCCTCATAGCATAGGTAGGTAGGGCAGGTGCCATTTACTTCCATTTTATAGAAGTGGAAACTGAGGCCCCAGGAGGTTAGGTGACCTGCCCAAGGTCACACAGCTGGTGAGCAGAAAAGCTGGGACTGAAACTCAGGTGTGTTTTCTAGGTGAGAGCTCAGGCTCAGACATTGTGTATGGGGTGGAGGGAGTGGCTCCCTCCTGACCTCTCCTTTTACAAGCTCCACAAAAGGATATTACTGGTGTAGCTCCTGCAGAAATTTCTCAGTCGGGAGGAAGAGAGAATGGGTGAGGACGATGTCATCCAGCAGGATATCTGTAGAGATAAGTGGGTGCCACGGATGTCAGGAGGGCATTTCCAGAACCAGACTGGAAACCCAGTACCTCCCACCTCCCTCTCTTGCCCCTGAGGGCGACTGCTCTTTAGCCAGGCTGGAGCCCCAGCCACCTGCCCCGTCATGCTCTGCACACGTGCACACACACATGTGTAAAGGTTCTGGGCAGCCGCTGCGGGGGTGGGGTTGGCAGCTGCCAAGGCAGCTGAAGGGAAGAGGGGGGCGTGCCTCTGATGGCCATGTGCATTGCTCAGTGTATGTGGGAAGTTGTCAGATAACACCAAGTTTGAGATCTGCCCCCCAAAAAAGAAGTAGCCCCACGGGGTCTCTAGACAGAGAGGACTTCTAAACACAAAGGTTAGCACCAGTGTGTGTGTGTGCCCCTCTCCCCTCCCTACTCCCTATCTAACAGCTTTGAGTTCCAACTAGGCAGGTGGGAACCAGCCCCATTAAAAGGGAAAGGGAGAGACTACCATCTCTTTGATCCCAGAGTCTTTAAATAGAAACCCTGTGTCCTTTGGGTGTCCAGAGACAGAAGGGTTAATGATGGAAGGGTGAAGGGGAGTGGCTCCTCTCACCACCCCTTTCCCCTCCGCACCCCTGTCTGGGCCTGGCTCAGCCAGTCCGCCAGGTACAAGGTCGCCCTGACTTGCAGCCAGCCCCGGGGTGGGGCAGGGCTGCCTGGCACACACAAACAGACAAGGTGCAGGGAGGGAACCAGGTGTCCTCCCTAGAACAGGTTAGGGCCAGGTCCCCAGGCACTGCCCCAGGACAAAACTACAGCTTCTGATGGCCCTTGGCTAACCATCCCCTGGTGGTCCATTCTAGCCATGAAGGTGTAGGAGAACCAACACAAGACCATCTACTTCAACTATTTCATTTCAGAGAAACATTTCAGAGGCCCAAAGCTGGGAGGGACTTGCCTGGAGCTAGAATAAAAACCCAGAATCCTGAGTGTTTGTACGGTTCTCAATATGCCTGAGGCAAACAGGGTGTCAGGGTAGAACCTAGTGGTCAGATGGAGCTGCTTAGATGTTTAAGAGGCTTTGGCTAGGTTTAGAGTACCTTCTGAGTTCCCTCCTCCCACACACCCTGGGAGGAAACCGAGACGGCTTAAGAACATTGGTTATATTGGAGAATATCAGAGTGGCAGGTTAAGCTGATTCTCATTCACTCTGGGACTGGTTTGGGGTTTCCCAAACCAGTTACTCTGGGGATCCAGCCTGCCAGATAATATGAGTGACAATGAATTCAAGAGTCTTACTCCAGGGGAGACTGAACAGAGTGTGTAGCACCAGATCCCCGTGGAAGGGAAAGATAGTTTTTCCTTTTTCCTCTCCGCCTAGCTACCCTGCTCTGTTCTTAAAGTGAGTCAGAGAGCCCCCAGCGCTGACCCCCCAGCTCCAGGGATGGGGACAGGCATAGAGATGCATGACACCCTGCCTAGACTCCTTATCTCACAGGAAAGCTAAGCCAGAGCAAAGGAAGAGGATCTCCGGGCAGAGTGGGGGAGATGCTGGTATGGGGGCTACAGTTTGGCATCTGTGTCTTCCCAGGCAGGCTGTGGTCCAACGCACAGCCTCCCCAGGGAATGTGTCATAAAGACACAGGGTGTGTGGTGTAGGCGGGAAGTTATGGTTAGGAGAGCAGTGTGTCTGATATTTTTCTAATTAAATCCAAAAGGTGTCAGCTCCCCAGGGCAACTACAGCCTGAGCCAAAGGAGAGGACTCAGGTCTTGAGAAAAATCTGGGAAGTGGAGCCCCACTCCCCACACCTAGGATGGAGTTCCCTGCAGAGAGCTGAGAGCAAAGTGTGAAAGCCCCCATCGTTAGGGCATCAGTGAGCCCTCCCAAACCTCAGACCCTCCTGGGTTTAGTGTAATGCCGAGAGCTGGACCTAAAGACCCCTACGTCTTATACTTCAGCCACTAACCAGCAACTTGGAGCCTCAGTTTCCTCAAAGAACGATTAGTTGGGGTGCTCGTGGGGAGTGGTGAAATAGTATCCTCATTTAAGAAATAAGCATCATTTAGGGTGTGGTTATTATTTTTTAAAGAGGCTGTGTGCTGAGGCCTGCCACCGGAAGGGTGGGAGCTGGAGAGGCTCAGGAACCCCTAGATGCTGCAGGGCCCCGATGCCTGCCCAACCACATCTCCCCTCACAGACACCTTCTGAGTCCACCCCCAAGTAGAATGCCATCTCCCCACCAAACTGCTAAGGACAATGTATCCCTTCACTCAATCCCAAAGGGCAGCCTGGGCCCTGAGTGGGCCAGCCTGTGCTCTGGGGGCTTCTAAACAGAGTCAGGGACTCCTGTCAAGGTTTTCAGGGCTTGGGCACCTCTGGAGCATGGCACAGCTGCGCTGGGCAGCTTCCATCTTAGTATGTCGGGCCCTAATTTGAGGCCACAGGAGGAGGTAGGCAACATCAGGGACCCATGGCAGTCTGTGGCTAAAATGTCCAGGGGAAAGGAAGGGTGGCTTAAGGAGAGGGGCTCAGCTTCTTCTCCAGTGGCGGGTGAGGCTGCTACAGGGAGGAAGATGGGCACTGCGCGTCTCTTCTGCTGGAGGGTCTGTCCTCAGCTAGGCCCCTGCCCACTTCGGGGGACCATTCGACCCCACACCCTGGCCCCAGCACTACCCTCATTCTCCAAGGGCAAGGAGGAGGAACCCGGACACCCCCCTGCTCCGGGATGGATGAGCCCGCAGACTCCCTACCTGAGGCGGCGCTGTCCCTGGTGGCCCCTCCGGCCAGCCTCTCCAGAACCCGGTTCAGAAGATGCTCCGGCCGCTCGGGGGCGCCCAGGGGGGCCCAGGGCGGCGACGTCAAGGGCTCGCCCGGGGACAGCTCGTCTGAGGAGTACGAGGAAGGGGAGCGCAGGGGCCCCCCTCCCCCAAGCTGCCCGGGGCCCGGCACTTCCTCTAGCTGCAGCCAACAGGGTCCCCCGCTGCTCGTCTCCTCCGCGACCCCCACCGGCTCTCCCCCTTCCTCCTCAGGGGGTGGCTCCAGTCCGGGCTCCGCCGGGGGCTCCCGGAGGAAAGCTGGGAGCAGCAGGCGAGACACGCTCTGACGCCGCTGCAGCGGCCGCGGTCCCCCGGTTGGACCGCCGCCCCCGCCAGGTCCCCCACCCCCTCCAGGCCCGCCGCAGCTCCCCAAACCCCCGCCGGGACCTCCCGCCACCGTTCGGCCGGCCAGCTGCGATGTCTGTTTCTTCAGAAATTTCTCCAGTGGCTTCATGCCCCCCCCCCGCCCCTCTCCTAGGGGCCGCCGGGGGACCCAGGTGTCCCGGGCGCGGGCGGGGGGGGCGGGGACACGATGCTCAGAGCCGGAGGAGCAGAGCGGAGGGCCGTGCCAGGCGCCGGACTGGGGGCCAGAGGTGCCCAAGGCTCCCTGGCCAGAGTCCAGTGGCCAGTGGCCGGGGGAGGTGCCAGAGGGAAGGAGTCCCCGCTCTCAGCAGCCCCCCATGCCGGCTGCAGCCGGCACGCGGCCCGAAGCGTGGGCAGGCTGTGGGGCCGGTGCCCCCGGCTCTGCGCTCCTGGGCTGGGCTGCGGCGACAGAGGCAGCGGCGGAGAGCAAGGATGAGCGGACGCGGCGGCGGCGGCGGCGGCGGCGGCGGCGGTGGTGGCGGCGGCGACGGCTGCGCTCCTGGCCGGGGGGAAGGTGGCAGAACTGAGACCGCGCCCCCTCCTTCAGTCCCCGCCCAGTCCCCGCCCCTGCCCTTCCTGGGCCGGGTTGCCGGGACCCCTTGGCCCCCTCGAGGCTTGAACTTGGGCACTGGGGCTGACCTGGGGGGGAACAGTGAGGGACGTGGGTCAGAGAAATTAAGGGCAAAGGTGAGGCAGTGATTCACCAATGGAGAGAGATTCCTGGCTCAAGCGATTCTCAGGTCTCTTAGCATCAAAGAGCCAGGACAGGCCTGTGGCTTGCGCACCTTGACTCACTTACCTTGTACCCAGGTAAGGCCTACAAAGATTGCTGAACCCTGAGCCATACCCACAGGAATAAGTCTTTATCATCTTTCTGTGAGGGAAGGCCTCTTGGATGGATTGGCATTGGCACTGGGGGGAGGGGGGTGTGCCCATTGGCCCTCTCTGGTAGGGCACAATAGGTGGTGTGGGCCTGGTCTGTAAGGCAGGTACTGGCAGGCAGGTAGGAGCCAGGCAGAGAGCAGCAGGTTGTGGCAGGTCTTGTTGGGGTGAGGAGGAGATAGTAGGCAGGGAGAGGAGACAAGGGGCACAAGGGTACCTGATCCCAGCTGGCAGCAGAAGGAAGCAGGGCCATGGAAATAGGTGACAAGCCCCAGAACTGCCAACTAACATCTTCAAGCATTGAGCCCAGAGCATACGTAGCCATGGAGTGGGCAGAGTGGTGCCAAAATAGCACTCTAAATAATCCTTATTCCTGATGCCCATGCCAGAAGCATTCTGTCTTTGAGTACACTGCCCCAGGAGGAGCAGGGGGTATAAAGGCATGTTTAGTGTGAGCACATCTAGGTTAGGCTTACAAAGTGCAGAAAGTGGCACCAGGTTCCAGATGGGTTGAGGCTGCCCTCAACAATGCCCCACCCCTGTTTACTGTGTACCAACCAGGCAGGGACAGGAATGTGAATGGCTGGGAGTGGTGGTAAAACTGAATAGGGTGTGTACTACATACATGTTACTGTATGTGTAGATCTAGTCCCATGTGCGCTAGAGCATGTATTCACAGAAATTAAAGCTTTGCACACCCATCTGTGAATTTGGAAAGGGAACAGTAAGCACAATTTTGGCTAAGAAGCTGGATTAGAAGTCTGAGAATCAGCTTCCTGCACCCCCTTTATTGACACCCCAACATCCTCAGGGTTGAAAGGGAAATGGCTGGAGTGGCTTAGAGCTCCCCAGGGAGCATTTTATGAACCAAATAGGAAGATAGGAGGGCATCTCTCCCAGCACATGCCACAGTTACCAGATTAAGCCGGTTGCCTTGGCAACCTCCTCTCTGGGCAGGATTTGGGATTGTTGGTTAGGAAGGGTGAAGAATTAGGGAGTGTGAAGGGTGTGGGGGTTAGAAATAAAAGTGCTGAGACTTCTAAAAACTAGAAGCTTAGGGAACAGGACCCCCACACGCCTCCAACTACTCAAGGTTATCAGGTAGAGACTAAGTTCAAAACCTTGAATCAGGGAAGGAAGCCTCAAGTTATGGTCCTCCTAGAGCAGCAGTGGTTTTCATCCTGACTGCACACTGGAATCACAGCTTTTCAGAAATACTGGTGCCCAGGCCACATCCAAATTAAATCATATATCTGAGGCAGGGCCAAGGCTTATGGTATTTTTGAAAAGCTTCCCAGTTGATTCAAACAGGCAGGGTTGAAAATCACTACCCTAGTGGGACAACCCAAGTGGGCTGCAGATGTTGGGAGATGACTCTGGAATTTCAAGTCCTTGCTGTTCTAAATTGCCCCACAAGGTAGCAGGCCTGTGTGCTAATCCTGAAGGGAATAGGGTTGGCAGGGAACCTGCACTCCAAGGTAATATGCCATTAAATGTCAGCATAACTGTGTACCAGGTCCTGGACAAGAGAGATGCAGGTAGTTTTCTTTCTTGAAAAGTAAAGACACTGGCAGTAAAGTGTTATTTTAAGGACCACAGTCTAAGGGAGAAGCTCCTATTCATCTTATTACAGGTAAGGGGAAGGGAAATTAAAAGACCACCAACTGTGGCACGTGTTGCAGTTTACCTAGGCCACTTACAGGGCAATTCTCAGCTTCAAATTGACTGTTCCCTCCTTATGGAAGAAATAAGAGAGGAAGGCAGGGTGGTATGAATAACAACTATGAGGAGATGGGGGTAAAAAAGCTTTGAGAACCCAGCCCATGGGCTTCAAGAACGGGACTGGGCACGGCCACCTAAGGCTGATCTGTCTGCCCCTTTCACTCCCCTTCTTTCTGCCCACCACGAGGCAGGCCAGGAGGGCAGAGAGAACCTGGGGGCTTTGCTGAGCTTGAGTTTCTTCTTGCTGAGCTGGTTACCAAGGCAACAGAGAGAGCAATGGGATCTAACTGCAGGACTGGGGAAGCAAGAGGCAGGGGTGAGGGGGAAGCATCTTAACACTCTCATTCCTCCTGCCAGTAACCCACCCACAAGGCTGGTTGGCATTCTTTCTTTTTTGGCTGGTTGGCATTCTTTTCATGACCCCAGGAGACCGGGCCTATAGTAACCCGTCACCCTGTGGGGGAGGAGAAACAAACTGACATGACTTAGAGAGGAATTGGGGATGGGGGTCAGAAAAGTTATGGCCCTCTGGCTGTAGCAGCAGCATCAAGGGGTGTGTGGTGGAGTATCATTTTAAGATACACCTTGATGCCCACCTCTCCAGTGTATGGATTTGCAAAACCCAAGAATAAATGCTGGGCTTCAATGCCACATTAAACTCAGTTGCTCTCCCATACCAGGGAAAGCCTCTATAGTAAACTTCCATCCCACCCAGGACCTGGAGGGAACAGTCAGTTCAAAGCTGAGAATTGCCCTGTAAGTGGCCTAGGTAAACTGCAACTTGCGCCACAGTTGGTGTGGTCTTTTAATTTCCCTTCCCCTTACCTGTAGTAAGATGAATAGGAGCTTCTCCCTTATACTGTGGTCTTTAAAATAACACTTTACTGCCAGTGTCTTTACTTTTCAAGAAAGAGAGCTACCTGCATCTCTCCTCTTGTCCAGGACCTGGTACACAGTTATGCTGACATTTAATGGCATATTACCTTGGGAAGCTTACTTGCCAAACACAAAGAAAGGCATAAGGGATACTGGATGTTTTAGTGGATAAGCTGCATCTCACTAGTTTTTCTGTCCCTGACACTTCCAATCTAAGGGCTTGTGTGATATCCCAGTATCTATGTGGCAATGTGGTTAAAAAAATAATTTATGAGGAGTACAGACACATTTATGGCCTCATAGCAGCCCCTAACCTCTCTGGTCTTTCTTTTTTTTTTTTTTTTTTTTTCTTTCATTCACTTCTGGCGTATTTGGCTACTCTCTGGTCTTTCATTTCACAAGTCTGAGCTGGCTTGAGTTGTAACTGTGACCCTGTGGAGGAATTAGGGAGTCCTTTTCCCTCCTTCCTTCCCTCCCAAATCAAGACTCATGCATTTGTCTACCAGCGGGATATTTTAAAAAAAGACTCATGCAAAACACTGGCAAAGGAGCCAAGTTTATAGTCTAAATTTTATTATCTCCAAGTCACAATGCTGATCACAAATGTGCACCCTTTAAAACAGTAACAAAAACAAAACACATGGAGAAATCCTTGCAACTAAACACAGCGGACCAACAGAGACAACTGTCACAGTGTCTTAAGGTCTGGGACTCTGGGCATGCTGCCCACCGGCTTGAGGAGACATCTTCAGGTTTAAGGCAAAGGGAACAACCTACAAAAGGCACAACCACCAGCTACCCCTGGAAGAATCTCTTAGCTATTTCCTTCTGGGGGTTACAGCTTAAGTGCCTCTCCCTACTCCCCATCCCACACCTGTGACTCAGAGTAGTTAGGTCACCTGTGGGAGAGAAAGAATAAAAGAAGACAGTGACATTACTTGGGGAGAGACACAGCCACCACTTTCTCCCTCAGGTTCTGTAGAAGGACAGGGACAGTGGCCAAGTTATCCCTGGCAGACAGAAGTGCTGCAGTAACAGGAATCTCTTCTGCAGAGGCAGCAGGTGAGTGGTTCAGTGCCATGAATAGGAAGGAAAGAAAAGAGGAGCCTTTGCCCAGAAGGTGACTGGCTTCCTTAGGCCTTAAGCCTAGGTGTGGTATCTTCTGTTTGCAAGGACAAGAGTAAAATTTAGGGAACATAAGATAGCAACATCTAAAACACTTGTAGCAGGAAAGATGTGGAGAAGAGCAATTGTAAAGTACAGGGTAGATTGTTTGCTGGATAATATTTGCCTCTAGAGAGAAGCATTGGTCCACAGCAACTGGAAAGGGGGTATGGTAAAAGGAATGGAAAAGAAGAGAAGCAGGGCCCTCTAATTCCACTTACCTCAAAGACTGAGCCCTGAGGGGACTATGTGAATACATACTCCTAAGGTGCAAAGGTTCTCACTCCATCCTCCTTTTCTCACAAAAGCAACTGGCCTGCCATCTCTCCCCACAGTGGAGACTTTGCCCTCAGTAGAGGACTGAAGCCCACTAGAGAGTACAGGTAATGATGGAAGCTCCGACTCCTAAAAACCTAAGTCAAAAAGAAGGGCTCCTACCCATCTACTCTGAGTTTTTCTGCACAACTCTGTGCAGACAGCTATGCTTCCACAAGGTTAGAGGAGTTAAGAGAATCCAAGTATATGAGAGTTACAAATGGCAACCAAAAGTGAAAAGCCAGGTCTTTTTAGACTTGGTGGAGGAAGGCTGGCTTATATATTCTCCATTATTTGGGATGCACGGAAGAGTCAAAAGGGAACCCAGAGAAGCCGGCAAACCAGAAGAATGAACAAGTTTCATTTAAAGGCAGAGAGAGAGAACTAAAAGAATATTAATTTAAGAATAACAAGCCAGGCTTTAAAAATGAACATCTTAGAAAACAAAACAAACAGGAAGGAACTTCCCTGGGAACAGAAGACACTTGAATTTCCCAGGAGAAAGCGAAGAAGAGCAAAAGACACGGGCTTCTGGATCTAGACTCAGAAGCTGGGCTGTCTGGATCTCTGCTCCCCTGAACACAGCCAACTCAACTGAAGGGTGGAGATGGGAAGAAGTCCACTTGTTTCTCCTCTCTCCAACAAAGCCTGTCCTCAGAGGAAGGCAGGGGTCCTCCTCTTTCAGCTGTTTGCTGGTAGGAGCCAACCTCTATCTTTGAAGCCCTCCTGGTAGTAGATAGCCAGTTGTATTTCTCTTCTCTCCTGAGTTCTCACCTCTGCTGTTCTGATAGGGGTTGGGAAAAGGGAAGAACCACCAAAGTGTTAGTGGACCTTCTGGGCATTTACAAGCTGTTTTCAAAAAGCCACGTTTCTAAATAATGTGTTTTAAAGTAATGTCCTTAAATAAAACAGCAGCAACAAAGAATCCTGCAGTTTTTCTCCTCTTATGATCTTTAGAATTGGCTCTTTCTGCTGTAACACCTCAAATTTAGATTTCTTCTTTTCTCAATCAAGTTTAAGACCGTCATCCTGTATTTTTTCCTTGTAGCTTCCCAACTGAAATTGTCATATTGGCTGGGCATGGTGGCTCACGCCTGTAATCCTAGCACTCTGGGAAGCCAAGGCGGGGAGGATCGCTTGAGGTCAGGAGTTTGAAACCAGCCTGAGCAAGAGTGAGACCCCCGTCTCTACTAAAAATAGAAAGAAATTAGTTGGCCAACTAAAAATACATAGAAAAAATTAGCTGGGCATGGTGGTGCATGTCTGTAGTCCCAGCTATTCGGGAGGCTGAGGCGGTAGGATCGCTTGAGCCCAGGAGTTTGACGTTCCTATGAGCTAGGCTGACGCCATGGCACTCTAGCCCGGGCAACAGAGTGAGCCTCTGTCTCAAAAAAAAAAAGAAATTGTCATATTAACCATGGTTTCTATTTCAATCCTACATGATAAGTGCAAAATAAACCAGCAAATTTCAGGACTCCTTTAAAGGAGCCTCTCCTGAGATATACCAAAATTATAACTTAAAGCATTAATTAGGTGATTTTGTTTGTAAAGTAAGTGTGAGCATTTAGTTTTAAGAATAGGAGTCAGTAAATTGTGCACTTACTTTTATATGATGTTAGATTAAAATATTCAGAAACTCATATTAACTGGAACCCCTGCTTACAACCTGAAATAATAAAGTTGGAATTTGTTATTAGGCATTACTCAAAAGACTTTTTCTATAGAAACACACCCAGAAAAGGAGGGAAATCCTCTGTGGAAAAGGAAAAGCCCACTGACGTAGCATATGCCTTAAATATGGGAAGGAACTCTCATACCTCAGGTGGAGGGGGCTTGATGGTGACTGGCTGGGGAGTCCTCCGGGGTGGGGAGGGCTTTGGCTGCACCTGCTGCTGGGCGGGGTTATAGTATGTCACGCCTCCATATACCTGTGATGGAGCCTAGGACCCCACAAGCCAGAAGGAGAAAAAGTTAGCAATTAATTTACCCAACCTATGATGAATAAGAAATATTACTGAGACACAAAAATAAGAATATTGGGGAATTTATTAGACTCTGGTTCTAATTTCTTCAAAGTACTGCCAAGCTTTCTCTAATTCCCACCATCAGCTGACAAGGATGAGCTCAATGGTGGACACTCCAGCAACCTGATGGTGTCAACCTGTTGTTGGAAGTTAAGCAGGACAGGGGTAGGGCTAATAAGGAGTAGAACACAACTTCTTTATGCAGTTGAATAAATGGCAGATGTTGTGGCCTATGATGTACCACAGCACTCAAATGAAATATTTAAGAAACTGAAGAGAATAAACAGATGATAGGCATTACATAAGCTGCATTTCCAGCTCCTGACCACCAAGAGGCGTCCTGGTACCATATATTATATCAGTGGAATTGAAATGTTCTCTCGAATTCCTTTAGCATTCTCCCCATACCACATTCCAGTCTGAATTAAAGGAGGTGTACCTAGAAAAATATGCTCCTTAGCCATCTCACCTGTGCATTAGGATACAGATGAGGAGGTGGAGGGGGAGGCAGTGCTCCTGGAGCATAAGGATAACTGGGATTACCAAAGTTCATGACGCCTGGAGCAGAAAAGTAAGTAGGAGCAAGCAATTGCTGAGGTGGTGGTTGTCCTGGATTCATGGACACTGGTGGGGGATAGAGGCCTGGATTGGGCAGAGGCGCCGGTGTCTGGTGGGGATGTAAACCTGGACAAGGAGAGAAAAACAAAAATTGAAAAAGAAGATAATACCATTTCCATGGGATGGCCTGGCTGGACTGCTCAGCACAAACAGGCTCAGGATGGAAGCCCCAGGATGGACACAAGAGGAGTCTTGTTGCCCAAGCAGCCACGATGGCCAGCCTCATAGGCTAGCAGCACAGAGCTCAGGAAGATGGGGTCTGTGGAGCCCCAAACATATATCCTCATGTACTGGAAGCATACAAGTAGAGGCACAAAGCTTACCTGGGTGGGGAAGGTGCATTTCTGGCTGCACAATCATGCCCTGTGGAGGCAGTGGGGCAGGGCTGTCACCATGGGTATAGATTGGTCCCTGGAACTGCACTGTAAGATATCACATTGGGACTCTCATAAACCCTCACTCTTCATATCACATAGACAAGTCTCCTTGTCCCCCAAACCCTTTAAAAGATGTTCTCAGTTTTCCATGTGAAGAAAACAGCAACCAGACAACGTTTGATAACCACTGTGAAAAATCAGAAGGGAAATTCAGGAGGCAGGAGGCTGGTCTCTTAATTCACTTCACCCTGCCAAGAAAGGTACCCCAACAATAATAAAAAACTCACGTGGATCATAGTAATGTCCTTCCATGATACTGATATGCACAGGAGGGGCAGGGGGCTCGGGCACAGGTCTTTGCCGCTGAGACGAATAGCGTTTGGCTCGACCACCTTGGACACCCTGAGACAGAGAGAGAAGCCAGAATAAAACTTCCAGAGGGCTGACTGGCATATCAAGTCCTACCTTTCTTTAGGTGCTGCAAAACACTTGGTACGTGGCAGGTGTTTAATAAGTATTTGGAAAGTGAATTGAAATATCAATAAAAAACATCAAGACTTGAACCTAAACCTTCTACTTTATATTTCTGATCCCAAATTAAAAGAAATTTCGGGAAGCGATGGGAAAACTGACTTCAATATCTTATCTTGGTTTAAACAATGAACAAGCTATAATTTGTAGCCTCCCCCAATCTACTCCCTTTCCCATTTTATACCATTTCTTCCATCCGGTTAAAATGAGGTGGTGGTCCTGCTCCCATGTGTATATGGTTAGGCATACCTGTAATATACCAAAAAAGTCACTGCTGCAGAGCAGACATATGTGAATGGGACTCAGAAGCCATCAACAAAATGACAGGTTGAAGAGTCAACAGGGGGAATGTCTTTCTTCTTTTAAACAAACAAAATTCCTTTTAAATTATCTCTGCTTCCTGTCAACACCATGATTTGAAAATTTGCCCCCACTGCCATTTTAATACAGCAATAAAGCCCCTGAACATGAAAAAAATGACTTCAGTGAAAAAACTCAAGTTCAAATTTTTCCTAACAAATTCTTCCCTGCACAGAATACCCTGGGAGATTATAATTAGCACATCGTGTTATCAAACATATTGAAAAAATCTCAGTCCAAGAGTTTCTGAGCAACAGTCGCACAGGGGAGAGATGTTCTGTAAATCTACTTGATTTTATCCTAGTTACAGAAGTCTGGGTTCAAAGTTTGAGAAGAGATTCTGCTCTGGCTAAAAATAACTCAAGACAAAAAGGAATGTTCTAGAGACTGTCTTCCAATGGTAAAATCAGCAGGAGGGTATATTCCTCTAACCGGAGATCAAGTCCAGGTCCAATTTATGCTACATTTGTTTTTGGTGTTCAAAAATCACCCCCACCAACGAAGGATGCTGAAACACTGTACAAAGATTTCTAATCTTTAAGTTCTATTTTGGAAACTAAGGAAAAATCCCTCAATCTATTTGGTTGGTGGAAGATAAAGGAGAATGAGCAAAAAGTATGATACGTAGATCCTACTCTTCAAAATTATACTATCCAACATGATACCAACTAGCCACATGTGGCTATTTAAATTTCAATTAATTAAAATTAAAAGCTCAGGCCAGGCACTGTAGCTCACGCCTGTAATCCTAGCACTCCCATCGCTGGGAGGCCGAGGCAGGCGGAATGCTTGAGGTCAGGAGTTCGAAGCCAGCCTGAGCAAGAGTGAGACCCCATCTCTACTATAAATAGAAAGAAATTAATCAGCCAACTAATATATATAGAAAAAATTGGCTGGGCATGGTGGCACATGCCTGTAGTCCCAGCTACTCGGGAGGCTGAGGCAGGAGCATCACTTGAGCCTAGGAGATTGAGGTTGCTGTGAGCTAGGCTGACGCCACAGCACTCACTCTAGCCTGGACAACAAAGCAAGACTCTGTCTCAAAAGAAAAAAAAAAAAAATTAAAAGCTAAATCCCTCACTCCGGCCATATTTCAAGTATTCAAAAGCACCAATAGGCAGGTACAGTGGTGCATGCCTATAATCTTAGCTGCTCAGGATTGAGGTGGGAGGATCACGTGGGCAAAGGAGTTTGAGACCAGCCAGGACAAGATAGTGAGACCCCCATCTCTACAAACAAAACAAAAAAGCACCATCATTATGGAAAGTTCTATTGGGCAGTCTGTCACTGGAAGATTAAAGAAATTAGAGGTTTTCCTTTCAAAGAGATTAGATCTAAATTCAAATCAATAAGTTTTTGCCTTCAAATATTTAAGAATTAGCTTAAATAATAACAACAATGACTTCTTTCACTTTTTCTGTAGAGTAGAAAAGGATTCTGTACTCAGGAGCTCAATGATGATGAATGATTAGTTAACAGGCAACTGATTAGTTAATAGGCAAAACAGAGGGACAGTCTTGGGTAATAGATAAAACCACTTTGAGGACTGGATGAATGTACCAATAGATCCATCTTTTTCACTCAGTTAGTGAAAAGGTAGGTATTTGTTAGATACCACTTTCCTGAGAGCCTTAAGTCCCTTTCCCCTAAATTTGGTGATGCAAAGGGGGAAAAGCTAGCCACCAACCTTAAGATTCCTACCTCGAAGTTCTCGTGGTTGCAGGAAAGGAGGCTGCCCTGGACTCCAATTCTGTTCTGCTATATTTAATTGTGCCATGTCTTGCTCCAGTCCACCTGTAGTAGAATCCACAGGAGCCTCCCAGTTCCCAGTCTTAGGTGGAGCAGGGGCAGTTTCTGGGACTTGAGGTGCTGGGATAAGCCCTTCAGGTGGAGGGGGCATCTCCTCTGCAACCTTGACTGCATCTCCAACTTTGGTTCGGGTTCTTCTTGCCCGGGAATAGGATTTCTTCTCAATGGGCCTGTCAGGGGCTGGTGGTGCAATGTCAGGAGCAGCAGCAGGTGTCTCTGAGACTGCCTCTTCCTTCTCAGGACTGCCAAGCACCGGAGCATCTGCTTCTGGAGATGGGTCCCTCATAGGAGTCTGTTCCAGGCGCCGTGACCGGTAACTGGTTTCATGCTTAACAGTTTCACCAGACCGGCCACCATGCTGCCCACCAGCCTCCATAGGCCTAAAACCAGCACGACCTTCCTTGAAGCCCCCAGATCGAGAGTAATTCCTGGGTGCAGACATGCGGCCAGTACCTGCAGCATTCCTGTTAATAAATGTCCTTGGTGGTAGGCTGCCCCCAGGACCCTGGTGGCGATGGGACTTGTTTAGCCGCTCACCATTCCAGTTTGGATCTCTTTGTGGAGGACTCCCAAATCTAAGAAATGGAAGGCAGAAACTGTTAAGAAAATGACATAAGAGATCACTAGACATATAAACTGACAGTCAGGGAGACTTCCCATATTCCTCACCCATTCACTTACTAGCTGGGAAGGGAGTTCTTTCTAAAAATGTCAATAGCCTAGGCCTTAAGAAAAAAAAAAGTCTGGGCTCCAAAATTTCCTCACCGGGGTTTCCGGATTCTTCGGGGTCTGATGTCATCAGGACTGTGAGCTGAGCGGATATCATAGCCATAAAGAGCAATGAGTTCCTGTCGGGACTTTGGGGCCTGCTCATCTTCCCGGAACTTGTCATGTTCCCAGCGGCCCTCATCCTTCCATAGTTTTCGTTGACGCCCTTTGGGTCTGGACAAAACCAAGGAAAAGTGTCTTAGGTCAGCAGAATCTGCCAAGTGGAGACGTTCATGAAACAAACAGAGGCAGGTAGGAAGATAGCAGGAACTTCATGTAATCTCTCCTTCTCTCCAGATCATACAAAACAGGACCCCCAAAAGCAAGAATGAATCACAGCAGGGCCTGCTGGGCTCAAATACAACAAAAATCGAAATGAGAAAAGACTTCAAGTCATTCAGTACCTCTGAAACAACTCTATCCTAAAAGGCAGCCTATGCAAATACTTCACATCTTATAGGGTTTGAGCCTCAGATGAAGGCAGACAAAAGTGTAATGATTAAGAGAAGAAGGGTTCTGGAGACAGACTGCCCTGGGTCTGGATCCCAGCTGCCCCACCTAGAGTTACCAAATATTCTAAGCCTCACTTTTGTCATTTGTCCAAGAGGGATAATCATAATATTTACCCTAAAATGTTGTGAGCAGTCACTGAGATAATACAGGTAAAATACTTAGCAAAGTGTCTGGCATACAGTAAGCACTAAATACATGCTGGACAGCAGCAGCAGCAGCAAGTGGCTGTTACCTGACTTCCTCATCCTGAGTTTGCCCTCGAAGATCATGCTCAAAGAAGAGCCCTTTCCGGGGTATGTAGGCTGGATTCTTCCGATCCTCGTCATCATCCAAATGCTTAGGCCCCTTTTTACCCACTTTGTTCTCCACAGGCTCTGTGCTCTCCTGGAGGACAGATAAAGGGCTCCTTATTCCTCCAAGGCTGCGGCCCCCGACTGTAGTCCCCAGCATGGAGGACTGTGATGTGTACTGACCTGTCCATCCCCACTTTGCCTCTCTCCAGTCACAGTGCCTTTGCTATCAGGTTTTTCTTCTCCCTTCTCTTCTTTTGCTGAAGAATTAACTGCATCATTAGCTTCTGATTTCAGCTCCACTTTGGAGTTTTCCTCTTCACTGTATTCCTCTTCTTCACCCTGAAAAAAGTTTCCCTGTCAGCTGTGGAGATAAGATCTGAATGGTTCAGGGTCAACTGTATTTTGGCCTCAAAGTGTTTTTGGGTTAAGATTCTCAGAAAAGTAACAGAGAAGTGAGGGAGACTGCTTGACTACCCCCACACTCTGAGAACCAAGTCTATACAGCATTTTAACAACCAACTATCCTTGATTCTTCCCATTTTCCTCAATTATATTAAGTTTTCCCTCCTCTGGAGATGAGGATAGGTGGGTGGTAACCACCCCATTCTTTCCTTGATCCTATGTTCCCTACAGATTTTGAAGCAGAAATTATAAGAACTTACTTGGTGTGTGTATGTGACTTTAATTCATTACTCTCCCCACCACACATACTGACTGAATTCAAACATCTTAAAATAGTACCAGCATGATTAATAAGGGAACTTTGTTTTATGCTCCACCCCATCTAGTCTGTGGTAGAATGTCAAATGAGGCAACTTTTTTATTCCAAGGGAGAAACTAATTTTGTTTCCAGGGCAGAAAAGAAAGACACAAATAGCACAGTGCTGAGAAGACTCCAAATCAGAGTCAAGCTTGGTCTAACTGAAGCCAAGGTGCTACCCTAGGGTCACACTGCTTTGGCTAAGGGATGTCATCAAAACCCTCTTCTAGGGCCGGGCACGGTGGCACACACCTGTAATCCTAGCACTCTGGGAGGCCAAGGCGGGCGGATTGCTCAAGGTCAGGAGTTCGAAATCAGCCTGAGCAAGAGCGAGAGCCCGACTCTACTATAAATAAAAACAAATTAATTGGCCAACTAATATATATAGAAAAAATTAGCCGGGCATGGTGGCACATGCCTGTAGTCCCAGCTACTCGGGATGCTGAGGCAGGAGGATTGCCTGAGTCCAGGAGTTTGAGGTTGCTGTGAGCTAGGCTGATGCCACAGCACTCACCCTAGCCCAGGCAACAAAGCGAGACTCTGTCTCAAAAAACAAAAAAAACCCTTTTCTAAGGAGACAAAGCCCCTACATCACTCACCACTTCAGTGAACTGTTTCCAACTCTTACTGGCTCTCCTCTAGAGGAACTGCTTTCCTTAAAGACTTTTCATGCAGAAGTTTTACCTCATTCTTCTACTCCCCACATATTTCAGAGTAAGAGCTAGAGTTAGTGTCTTCCTTATTCTCAATCTCTCTTCCAGATCTAACTCCCTCAGCCTCATTTTAAACCCCCATCCCCTGAGGCCGTGGACCCACTCTATCATTGACTTGAAGACTTTGGCAGTGAGGTCACAGTCTTCACCTTCACTTCAGCCACCACTCCAAAGTCTTACCTGGAAATGCTACGCATTTTTTTTTTAAGTAAACCGGCTGGTTTTTAAAGTCTTAAATACCCCAGGTCTTGACTAAAACTGTTACATGCAAAAGAAATGAAATCAAACCTTTACCTTACCCCACATACAAAAATTAACTCAAAATGGATCAAAGACCTAAATATAAGAGCTAAATCTATAAAAGTCATAGAAGAAACCACAGGAATAAATATTCATAATGTTGAATTTGGCAAAGGATTCTTAGATATAACACCAAGAACACAACCAACAAAAGGAAAAACAGATAAACCGGACTTTACCACAGTTAAAACCATTATGCTTGAAAGAACATCATCAAGAAGATGAACAATCCACAGAACGGAAATAAATATTTACAAATCATATATCCTTTTGTTTTGAGACAGGGTCCTCCTCTGTCACCCAGGCTAGAGTACAATGGCAGGATCATAGCTCACTGCAGCCTAGAATTCCTGGGTTCAAGCAATCCTCTTGTCTCAGCCTCCCAAGTAGACCACAGGCACACACCACCACCCCCGGCTAATTTTTCTGTTTTTGTAGAGACAGGGTCTTGCCATGTTGCCCAGGCTAGTCTCAAACTCCTGGCCTCAAGCAATCCTCCCACCTTGGCCTCCCAAAGTGCTAGGATTACAGGTGTGAGCCATCATGCCAGGCCACAAATCATATATCTGATAAGGGACTTATATCTAAAATACACCAAAAACTCTTACAACTCAACAAATAATCCAATTAAAAATGAGCAAAGTATAAAATAGAAAGAAATTAATTGGCCAACTAATATATATACAAAAAAAAATTAGCCAGGCATGGTGGCGAATGCCTGTAGTCCCAGCTACTCGGGAGGCTGAGGCAGGAGGATTGCTTGAGCCAGGAGTTTGAGGTTGCTATGAGCTAGGCTGACACCATGGCACTCACTCTAGCCTGGGCAACAAAGCGAGACTCTGTCTCAAAAAAAAAAAAAAAAAAAAAAAATGAGCAAAGTATCAAAATAGTCATTTCAAGGGAGATAGACAAATGGTCAATGAGCACAAGAAAAAAATGCTCAACATCATTAGTCATCAGAGAAATGCAAATCAAAATGAGAAACTGTTTCACACCTATTAGCATGGCTAGAATCAAGAAATCAGACAGGCCAGGCACAGTGGGTCATGCCTGTAATCCTAGCATTTTGGGAGGCCGAGGCAGGATGATCACTTGAGGCCAGGAGTTTGAGACCAGCCTAGGCAACATGGTGAGACCCTACCGCTACAAAAAATTAAAGAATTAGCCAAATGTGGTGGTACGTGCTTGTAGTCCAAGCTACTTGGGAAGCTAAGATGGGAGTATTGCTTGAGCCCAAGAGTCAGAGGTTGCTGTAAGCTGTCATTGCTCCACTGTATTCCAGCCCAGGTAACAGAGCAAGACCCTGTCTTACAAAAAAAAAAAAAAAAAAGATAGTAACAAGGGCTGTCCAGGATGTAGAGAAATTGGAAACCCCATACCCTACTGCTGAGAATGTAAAATGGCGCAGTACTTGGGAAAAGTTTGGCAGTTCCTCAAATGCTTAAATGCAGAGTTACCATATGACTCAGTAATTCCATTCCTAGGTACATACACAAGAGAAGTAAAAACATAAGTCCACACAAAAACTTATACATTAAAAATTAGCTGGGTGCCATGAAGCAAGCCTGTATTATAATAGTGGGAAACTACTTAGGAGGCGGAAGCAAGAGGATCACTTGAGCCCAGGAGTTTGAGGTTGCAGTGAGCTATGATGATACCATTGCACTGTACCAGGGCAATAGAGTGAGATTGTCTCAAACAAACAACCCCACAACAAAAACATATACAATATGTACAAACAGAAAGTAGATTTGTGGTTGCTTAGGAAGATGGGGAATTGGGGAGTTGATGGCTAAAGGGTACAGTGTTTCTTTTTGAGGTGATGAAATGTTCTGAAACCCACTGTGGTAATGGTTGCACATATCTGTGAATATACTAAAATTCACTGAATTATATACTTAACCCTACCTCTTATTCCTTATCTTAGTTGTTCCCTTCCTCTCTCATCTCTAACTTAAAAAAAAATTTTATATGTATGTTTTTTCTTTTAGAGATAGGGTCTCACTATGTTGCCCAGGCTGGATTCAAACTTCTGGGCTCAAGTATTCTCCTGCCTCTCAGCCTCCAGAGCAGCTAGGACTATAGGCATGCACCACCATGCCCAGCTCTGACTTAAGACATCCACTCCCTCTTGATCCTCTACCTTTGGCCTATCCATCATTCCTTTCTCACATTCACTTTCTTCTCCATCTAGACTCACTGCCCATTTATTGCAATCACTGCTAGTAATGTCCTCAATTCCCTTGTCACTCCCATGTGCCTGGGACAGGATCAACTTAAATGTCTGCTTTCTCTAGGCTGGCCTACACCAGATGATTCCATTGCTGAAGGGGTTGAACATATACACACAACTTCACAGATCAATGCTATTTCCAACCTCAACCACTCGAACTTCCTTTAGTCTCACAGTTCCTACCTTGCCTCTCCACAAACCCTACTTCTAAAAGGAAAGCCTTCAATTTCACAAAGAAAACAAAGTTAATACCAGCTTCCTCTGCACATACGCTTCCTTTTCACCTCTCTATAAATACGATGAAAGATGATTCTCTTGTCTGGTTCCTATCTCTTACATAGTCAAGAACACCAGTACACGTATTATCTATTTCCTCTCTTTTCTTTCCCCTTCTACTCTACACATTTCTTCAATCTTTAAAAATTCTTGAGACCCTCCCAACTTTAAAAACAAACACCAAGGCCAAGCGCGGTGGCTCACGCCTGTAATCCTAGCACTCTGGGAGGCCGAGGCGGGCGGATTGCTCAAATTGCTCAAGGTCAGGAGTTCAAAACCAGCCAGAGCAAGAGCGAGACCCCGTCTCTACTATAAATAGAAAGAAATTAATTGGCCAACTAATATATATAGAAAAACTTAGCCAGGCATGGTGGCGCATGCCTGTAGTCCCAGCTACTTGGGAGGCTGAGGCAGCAGGATTGCTTGAGCCCAGGAGTTTGAGGTTGCTGTGAGCTAGGCTGATAGCCACAGCATTCACTGTAGCCTGGGCAACAAAGCGAGACTCTGTCTCAAAACAAAACAAAACAAAACAAAACAAAACCACCAAATCACCTCTTGATCTCAAAGCTTTCCACTCTACCTACCATCTCTCCAGGCTTCTCTTCATAGCTAAGTTTCTTGGTCGGGGATAGTGGTTCATGCCTATAATCCTAGCCCTCTGGGAGGCCAAGGCAGGAGGATCCTTTAAGCTCAGGAGTTTTAGACTAGCCTGAGCAAGAGTGAGATCCCGTCTCTACTAAAAAAAATATAGAAACAAATTAGCTGGACAACTAAAAATATATAGAAAAAATTAGCCGGGCATGGTTAATAGTCCCAGCTACTTGGGAGGCTGAGGCAGGAGGACTGCTTGAGCCCAGGAGTTTGAGGTTGCTGTGAGCTAGGCTGACACCATGGCACTCAAGCCTGGGAAAGACAGTGAGTCTCTGTCTCAAAAAAAAAAAAAAAAAAGAACATAGTCAAGTTTCTTTAAAAAGTTTCTTGGAGGATTCTGTGAAAATGGTGGCAGCATAATTTTTGACCTCTCTTCAAATCTTGACACAGAATCTGGACAGCAAAAGCCAATGTTCAGAGAACATTTACAACAAAACTAGGTTATAAAGTATCACTCAAACCTCTAAATATAGAAGCAGCAAATAAGAGCAAAGTACCAACAGCCACAAGACCTGCATAGTATTGTTGGTATCCGTGTAGAATTAGGTAGATAGAAGCAAATGGGATCTGAGAACAGGAGAACCCTGAAATAATCAATAGGTAGGCAACAGAAAGCACAAGAGGCAAAACTGAGAACAGCAGTTGAAACTAGGAGGGTTTTTACCAAATGAATGTAAAGACCTATGGTAGGTAGATCTGAATGGGGTGAAACGGACCTGACTGCCAGGACTCCCTTCCTTCTAGGACAGGGTCTCATACTGAAGACAAACTGTTGAGAGGAGAATCAAATTGAGCAGGACAGGGAAAGTCCCCAAAAAGTTGGGGAGGGGAACAAAGGCAGTAATTCTCAGAAAGCAAGCCACCATATTTTTTAACATCACAGGAAAACAACAGAAGAGGGAGTTCTATAAACTTAGCAGGAAAACTAATTTTACATAAAAATGAACAGAAACTATAGAAGTTGTACCCCATATGAAGATTAAAAAAAAGAATAGCATTCCTCCAATGAAAGCATGCCAGAAAGACATATGCATATCATCAAAATTGCAACTCCTCACATCTACGGTGTGTTTAAAGAAAAAAGCAAAAAAAAAAAACTGCAACTATTTCAAAATTAGCTAAAAAGACATTATCAATAAGAATTAGAAAAACTCAAAAATGAAAAGAAAACTCAGAAAGATATTTGCAATCTCCTCCCTCTGTTGTCCCTTTCTTATTAACTATATTCATCAACCTGGACATCCCTTTGACGTATTAATTCAGGTTCCACATTCAATCCACAAAGGGATTCTGTTAGTAACACCAGAATACCTCTCAAATCTATGTTTACATCTCCTTCTTTAGGGTACCATCGTCATGCTCCTTGGACTATCCTAACAACTTCTTTTTTTTTTTTTTTTTGAGACAGAGTCTTGCTTTCTTGCCTAGGCTAGAGTGAGTGCCATGGCGTCAGCCTAGCTCACAGTAACCTCAAACTCCTGGGCTCAAGCGATCCTCCTGCCTCAGCCTCCCGAGTAGCTGGGACTACAGGCACGAGCCACCATGCCCGGCTGACTTTATATATATCAGTTGGCCAATTAATTTCTATTTTTATGGTAGAGACGGGGTCTCGCTCAGGCTGGTTTTGAACTCCTGACCTTGAGCAATCCGCCCGCCTCGGCCTCCCAGAGTGCTAGGATTACAGGCATGAGCCACCGCGCCCGGCCTAACAACTTCTTAACAACCCTACTGCCTATAGTCTTGCCTCATGCCTTGCCCATATTCATCTTCCACACTTAGGCCTTCAGTGGCATTTCTTTCCTTGCCAATTAGGATATCCAAACTCCTTTACACACAGAATGGTGAGCCACTGTAAAATCATAATCCCCAAACCTCACTGAACACTCCATAATGCCTGGCAGTTTTTCCAGTGTTTTCACTCTCCACTAACTACAGATGGTCCCTGACTTATGATGGTTCAACTTACAATTTTTCAACTTTATGACGATGCAAAAACAATACACATTCCTTAGGAACCATATTCTTCTTGAGATGCTGGGCAGTAGCAGCACGCTGCAGCTCCCATTTTTAACTTATGTATTTTCAACTTAATGATGGGTTTATCAGGACTAGACATAACTACAGCGTAAATTGAAAAGCATCTGTACTGCAAATATTCTCTACCCCAAAAACCTCTTGTAATTTTCCATTCTGTCCACTTCTGTTTTCATTGCCACCAATCTACTCCCTGCCACACACTGCTTGCCTAGAGTTCCACAGTAGCTCTCTTAACTAGCTTTTCTGTCTCCAATCTTGCTCCTCTTGATCAATTCTCCTCAATGCATACAATATAACTGTTGTAAAATATTCTCAAATTTTACTGTACATAAGCATCAACCTGGGATCTTGCTAACATATAAATGTCTGAGTCCCCCTTCTCCCTCCCAAGATACTGTTTCAGTAGGGACTAGATTTTCTTATGCAAGTATCCTCTAAACCTGACAAACACTGCTTTAAAATCTAAGTCTAATCATATCACATTTTTGTTTAAAACACTTTTATAGTTTTTCAATTCCTTAGAATAAAATTGAAATACTTTGTAACCTGGTTTACAAGGTACTTGAAGATTTGGACTCGGACTCATGTCTTAACACCTCCCTTCCTTGCCCTCCTATGTACTAATCATATTAAATATTTCACATCCTCCAACTCACCATGCAATCCATCTCTCTAGACCTTCTTCCCAATGTTCCACATGCTTACAAAACTCTCTGCCTGGCTAACTCCCAACCATTCTTCATGTCTCTATTTAAACACCCCATTCTCTTAAGTGTTTCCAAACAACCTAAACCCAATTAGCTACCCCTGGTATGTGCTCCCAAAGGACCCTATCCTTCCAATATCATGGCACTTACTAAATATTATTCTAAGTACTTAACTATTTTCCTCCTCTCATCCAGAATGTAAACTCAAGAGGAGAACCACATCTCTTTTACCCAGTGTCTGGTACAGCTCCTAACACAGAGCAGGTACTTAATAAAGAGAAGGAACAAGTAAGCCCCTTCATGATTTGGCTCCTGCTCACCAATGTGCCCGTATTTCTGGCAACCATCCTGTCTCAACAATGCTCCAAGGCTGGGCGAGGTGGCTCACACCTGTAATCCTAGTACTCTGGGAGGCCGAGGTGGGTGGACTGCTTGAGGTCAGGAGTTCGAAACCAGCCTTAGCAAGAGCAAGACCCTGTCTCTACTATAAATAGAAAGAAATTAACTGGCCAACTAATATATATAGAAAAAAATAATTAGCTGGGCATGGTGGCACATGCCTGTAGTCCCAGCTACTCGGGAGGCTGAGGCAGCAGGACTGCTTGAGCCCAGGAGTTTGACGTTGTTGTGAGCTAGAGCTAGGCTGACACCACAGCACTCACTCTAACCTGGGCAACAAAGCAAGACTCTGTCTCAAAAACAAACAAACATCCTCAGATCTGATTTAACTTAAAAAGAAAAAAAAAAAAAAAAAAAGAAGAAAAACAAACAAACAAAAAACAATGCTCCAGACACACCAAACTATAATACTCCAAGTTCCCAAATGCTCCATTTTCTCTCCTGTCTGTGGGCTTTCTTGACTGTTGTTCTCTCTGCCTACATGTTTTGCTTAGCTAACTCTAACTTACTCTTTTCTGACTGCCTTAGATCCAGTGCCTAGCCATAACACTCGATTTAGCCCTATCTCAGTAACTGTCACCAAGTAGTATGACTGCCTGAATGTTCATCTGGCTTCTTTAATAAGTTATAAGATCTCTAAAGACAGAAATTTTATTATAGTGTTCATTGTTCCATCTTCAAGGGTTTAACAGCGGCTACAGTGTAGTAATAGTTCTATAAAATTTATAAAGTTAAAACTTTGCCCTACCATCTAATTCTCTCTGTATATAATCCCATCACCAAAATCCAGAACTAGGGACTCTAATCAACAACACAGGAAATAACTACTCTGATGACATCTCCAGTAGTTTATCCAATCAAAACAAGCTCAGAAGAGCCTGCCTTTGGGAAACTTTCACCTAAAGACACAGAGAAAGCCCCATCTATGATATAAGGGATGTTTTTGGCGCAAACCACCTGGAATCCTGCCCTTGCAAAGTGTTCAGACAAATCTGGAAAAAAATATCCAACTGGTTGGCTTCTCAACCGAGGCTGCATAAAATGAACTGCCAAACATCTTGTGGAGGACTTCAGGATGTTGTCATTCTCTTATTTGAAAACTTATTTTCTTCAGATAGGGAGAAAAGCCAACTACTAACAGTGTAACACCTGTGGCTTGAAGAGGCTTGCCCCAAATTTTCCCTCACTCTAACTGCATAAGACTTCTGTTACAGTTTTGCAGAAGCACAAATGAAGAACGCACAAGAGGAACAAGTAGGGCATGGTACATCTGCAGCATGCGTTTTAAAAATGCATTTTCTAACATATACCATAAGAAAAAGAACCTATCACACTCACTTCTGAGTCTTCTGCACTTTCATAATCCGAGAGAACAGCTGAAAGAAAACAGACATGTGTGAAAAAAAAAACCCCAGAAACTATAATCCATTTTCTGCCTACTTACTGTGGGTCAGATTAAGACACTCATTTAATTCTGACATCAACCTATAAGGTAGATAAAACTATAAGCCCCATAATTTAATGGAAAAACAGACTCAAAGAGTCACTTACCTAAGATCATAGCGCTAAAACCTATAGTCTTATTCATCATGCTATAAAAAGCTCTTTTGTGGCCCTAAATCCTTAACAATCTAAGAGAATGTCACTGTTGAAAACAGGTAACCTGAGTTTATGGGCAGAAAAATCCTGTCATGATGGGGTAAAAGAGGATACTCACCATCGCCCTCAATGCCATCTTCACTCTCCTAAAGGAAAAAAGATATGGGTTAGTTCTGTGATTTCCAGAGGTGGAGAGCCCAATGAAGAAATGTAGGTGGAAAGAAGACAACACAAAATGGTTGAATAGGGAGATGCGGAATGGTAAATCCTTAACAAGAAGTATCCTAGACAGGTCAGGTCTCTTCATCCCCAACCCCAATTTCTGAACAAACATCTGCTTTCCACCCGCAATGGCACTGCCCTCTTCCCAGAACCCCCAACCTTTACTTCTTCTTCCCTCGGGGCTCCGGATGCAAACCCGTACTGGGATAACTCCTCTAACAAAATAAACCCCAGCATCTACATCAACTCCCAGCCTCCCACCTCACCTACACCCCGCCCCCCGGCCGGCTAGTCGCCCGGCCCCCTCCCCGCCCCGCCCCGCCCGCGCGCGCGCACTCACACACTCCGACTCCTCATCGGCGCTCTTGGCGCCCCCGCTCTCCGCCCGCCGCAGATGAAGGGCCCCGCCTCGGCCTCCGCGCTGTGAAAGCAAAGAGCCGCCGCCGCCGCCTCCAGCACTACCGCTGCAGCTCCCGCCGCCCCGCGCCAAGGAGCCGCCGCTGTCTGAGCCCGAAGCACCCGATTCTTCGTCCTCTGTGTCCTGCGAAGCGCGCTGCCGCCGCCGGTCCGCCATCTTACGGAGAACGGCCACCGCCGGCTAGCTACTTACGCACCGCACCGCGCCCGTCGCGGTGGCTGCTGGGAGGCTCGAAAGCTGGTCCCGGCATGCTTCACGTGCTGCACTTGGCCGCCCCGTTTTTCGGAAGGCGGGGCTGAGGGCGGGGTCTGCGCCCTGCGGCACGTTTGCAGGCGAGCGGGGATACGGCTGTCGATGACGTAAGGGGCGTGGCGTGGCTCCTGACTTCCCTTGGGCAGGCCCAGGGCGAGGGGAGTTGGAGTTCTGCGGCCTCCTGGGTTCTCGCTCGGCCATCTTGGGCATTCTGAGTGGGAGGCGTCGACCTGTCACAGCTTCACTGCAGCATTGGGGCAGTTTCATGCTTTTCTAGTTCCATTTCTCGTTATTACCTAATTTGAGGCAGGTCAGTCTACTGCATTCGATTGGTGAAATCACGAATCAAGGTAAATGTCTAAAGCCGTAGTGCTGCGTCAGAATTGCCACAGTAGCCCAGTTTAAGCTGAAGGGTGAAGGAGAAACCAGTCGTCTGCAGTGAAGTCAGAGGACTTATTGTTGCAGCATTTTCCTTGTGTCCGTATTTCCTTTTCCATCTTCATGTTTCTTCCCACCCCAGCCATGATTTCGCCCCAGAAGTGCCGGCTGGTATGATGCCAGTCATATCAAGATTTTAAACTGATTTAGATAAAAATAGATGGTCAGTAGAAACTATTGTTGGTTCAAAATCCTGTCATGATAGGGTTACCAGAGGAAAATGCTTTTCTTTTGGCAGGGCATTTGTTAGCAATGAAAAGAATATTTTCTCTGGACCATGATGATATACAAGATGCCTGAGTTAAGTTAGTGCATCTACAGGAGTGCACATTAATAATACATATCAAACAGATGAAAGTCACTATGGCATAGTATATATAGGATTCTGTCCTGAGTAATATTTTTGTAAGTGATATGGTTAAGGAAGGATCCTGATGATTATCAAAAGTTGTAGATGGTGTGAAACTAGAAGGAATTGATTGCTTTCAGAGATTGAGTCAGTATCCAAACAATCTCAACTGGTTAGACAAGTGGCCAAATGTGACAACTTTTAAGTCCAGCTTTAAAAACCAATTGCCTGAGTTCAAAATAGGGATGTATGATTTAATAAGTGTTAAAGAAAGAGACCTGGAGGATCTCATCGATCACAAACTAAGTTGGTGCAAATAAGGCTGCCACATTTAGTGTCTAAATAAGGAAAGTGATAGTCTGCCACTTTGTCCTTCAGTTGTTTGGTCTAGTTCCAATTTTTAAATGGACATGGGCAAATTGCTCACTCATCCAGAGGGAACTGAAAAACTAGAATCTTTTCTTTTGAGGAACAATTGTAAGATCTGTAAATGTTTAGCATGAAGAGAAGACTTGGGATAGCCACACCAATATTTAGCTATTAGAGGGACTGTGAGGAAAAATAAGGGATTGATTTTTTTCCAGCATCCTGGAAGGTAAAGCGTTAAACCAATAGGTTCAAGTTACAAGAGGTAAGATTTTGTCAACAAGGAAGGATTTTCAAACATTTAGGAAAAATATATTTAGGAAAAAACAAAGTTTTGAAGCAGAAGTTGGAAGCATTCATTTGTCTGGAATGTTGTCAAGGGGAAATCATCTATCAGGGGTCAGACTAGATGACTGCTCAGGCCTTTCCAGCTGTTAAGATTTTATTAACTTAGACATTAGGTACCAAGTATAGTACGATCTCCTGGGGTTTTTTTGGTTGTTGTTTGTTTGTTTTTTGAGACAGAGTTTCGCTTTGTTGCCCAGGCTAGAGTGAGTGCCATGGTGTCAGCCTAGCTCACAGCAACCTCAAACTCCTGGGCTCAAGCAATCCTCCTGCCTGAGGCCTCCCAAGTAGCTGGGACTACAGGCATGCGCCACCATGCCTGGCTAATTTTTTCTATATATATTAGTTGGCCAATTAATTTCTTTCTATTTATAGTAGAGATGGGGTCTTGCTCTTGCTCAGGTTGGTCTGGAACTCCTGAGCTCAAACAATCCGCCCACCTCAGCCTCCCAGAGAGCTAGGATTACAGGCGTGAGCCACCATGCCCGGCTCGATCTCCTGTTTTTAAAGCTGTCAATATGTATAAGGAAGTACGCTGGACAAAAAAGAGCTGAAAATATATTGTGCCTATACACAAATGGAAGTGAGTACCTTATATAAAGGGGAAAATAACGTGTTATTCTATTTAATTGTGAAAATGGATTTCTTTTCCCATTCTTTCAAATACAATCAGAATTGCTTAATGCTTGCCAATAAATCTAATAAACTGAAGCAGAAGTTCAAAAATTAACAGCCACAATAGTTTATTTACAATTGAACTCTTTATAAGATATTTACAAGACAACCAATTTTACACATCAGAAATGGTATCAAAAGTATGAATTACAACACAGACAACAATATGAAATGAGCATAAAACAAAGCTGAAGTAGACAGACAAGCAATTTCTCTTTTTAATTTATTAACACTAGCTTAAACTTTGTTAAAGAAAAACAAAGAACTATGTTTTAGGAGAACTGCAGGGCTTTCAGTTGAAGATTGAATTTCACAGTGTTGTATCCCATGTAGGGAAAAATAAGACTAATTTTCCCCTCACGCTCAAGCACACTGTAATTTCCCTCTTGGAACTTTGCTAATCTACTCTCCAAGCTCCTTCTCAACAAACCTCAAGACATCCAAATCAAAGGAGAATTGATCTAGAAGAAGGGACAATAAAATAAGAGGTCCTCAGGGAGAGGGAGAACCAAGAAAACAGAATCCACTAAAGTCTGGCCAGATAGCACCTCATGGATTCCTCTCAGTCTAGTTCAAGTCAGAATCTGAGGAGTCCCCTGGGCAGGGCACAAACATAAAGTTAAATTTGCTAACCCATATCCAAAATTAGGAATCCAACAAATGCTGAAATCAAGTAGAAACTGAGAGGGATCAAGGAACAAAGTCAAGAGACACTGATTGGGGTCTTTTATCTTTTGGGGCACATTATAAAGGAACATAACATAGGTAGAGTAGGAAAGCAAAACAGCTTGCCACATTAAAATGATGAAGAACAAAGAAAATCTGGCCCAGTTTTTCTAGAAATCTTCTCCTTAAGGTGTGAGATGAGAGCCCCTAGTGGAATAAGTCCTATTTCTCTCTACATCCTTGCTGCAATGACGTTCACAGAAGGTTCCCTTATAGAGAGCCCACTCTCCTAAGCAGATGGAGTTATAAATGAAAACCCATAGCCACACACACACAAAAAAGGAGAAATAAGAGCAGCAAGATCATCCAAGAATACTACATGTGCTGCCGGAGTAATTCCTTTAAAAGTCAAATCCAGGGAGCACAGATCAACATCTCACAAAAAGCTTTAGCAGTGGGAGGCCCCTGAGGAACTTTTCTTCTCTTCCCACAATGGTATCCCCATTCTCTCTCATGCTCCACTGATGGGCCGGCCACACATCCTACATACCTTGGCTTCTCCTCTAAAAGTGCTAATAATATGGGGACATATTCTCGTCAAGGATAAAAGCCCCTACCTTCTAGGAGATTAGACCCCTACTTGTTTTCACACAATAGTCCTGAAGACTAAAGAAAGGCAATTCCTATATATTTAAGACCAGAGGTCTTGGCTCTAGTTTCCTTTCAGATAGTTAACAGGGATCTTACACTGAGACCAAAGTGGCCTGGGAGTGCTGTCCTGACATTTTAACAAAACTGGGTATGGGAAGGGGGGGAGGTAGGATCACAACGGTACACATAAATCTATTTTTACAAAGTGAATGGAGAAGCTCATTAGGTACATTTGTTTGTTTCAAGATGTAGACATTTGCCAGCCAAAGGAAGCACATATTTCCACTTTTCCCCCAACCCTCCCTAAATCTCTACCCTACCACCAAGAGCTCAGCTAAAAGGAATACTTGAGAAGTGATGTGATACAAGGGCATCTATACAGGTTCTGGCATGCCATCCCAAATACCAATTGCTTCTCTTTACAGCTGTAACTTGTCCCAAACTAATTATCCCCATTCTCTTTTCCAAAGATATTATTTTTATGGGGTGGAGGAAGAAATTCAGTTACCCATTAACTAAGAAAATAACTGCAGTCAAACATCCCTTCCCATATGGCTGTATCACTGAATAGTTTTAAGAGAACAACTATCCTTTCAGACATTTACCTACCAATTCTCCAATCTCTACTCTGTGAAGATGACGTGCTTCATCACTTCACTTGTTATTCCTCATCTGGTCCTAAAGCTCATGGTGAGGTTTTTTTGTTTTATTATAGGGTAAAAACCACTATGCCCAAACTATAAGGAGGGTACACCAGGGCAAGAAGAGTGCCATGCAGGCACAGCTCTAAAGGCAGGGTTTGCTTCATCTTCCACATGTCTAATGAAGAAAGCCCTTTTACCCCTTTAACATAGGCAAATGTATAGAAGCAGACCCCTGAAACTTTCAAATCTGCCATTCAATAGATTTAGCTTAAGAGCTCATTTCCCTAAAAAGAGAAAAGAAATCCCAGTCACCCTCCATAATTCACAATTAGCCCAATGAAAGAGTTTTTGTGAAATCAGAGCGATGAAAACAAAACCAAAATCAAGGAAGTATGGAAGGGCATTATCAGTGAATAACATACATGAGGACACAGGTCACATATACAGGTCTCTGCCACTCTCTGGGAATGGCATGCTACAACTATCTGAAGACAGAGGGTTCTTGCCAGTACAGCTATTTCCTACACGTTCGGTGAGGTGTTTGCTTCTTCTGGATCTCCAACCTGCATCGGCTACGCTCATCCAACCAGGGCAGCTCAAAATTCCTGGCAAAAAAGGATGAGGAAATCAACTTGCAAAACTAAAAGAGATTCATTGTGGACATGACAACAACTCCAAAAATGTCAGCATGTCCTTCACTACTCCTAGCTCCAACTCCTAAGTCCCAAGTTTAGAGTGTCTCTCCTGCCTCAAAGCCAGAGCAACAGTGTACCATTAAAGTAATGGAATAATCTATTTCTAATTCAAAAAGCAATCCTAATTCCTGGTTTGGGAATCTTATCATTGCAAAAAGCTAGCTGCCTAAGTAGTATTATCTCTTTCCTTTTTTTTTTTTTTTTTTTTAAGAGACAAGGTCTTGCTTTCTCACCCAGGATGGAGTGCTATGGCACAATCTTATCTCACTGCAACCTTGAACTCCTAGGCTCAAGCAATTCTCCCACCTCAGCCTCCCATCACTGGGATTACAGGTGCACACCACTGCACCTGGCCCAGGTAGCCCCATGGCTATCCCTAAGCCACATGGTTCTACCTTCTATCTAGGCTTCCTTAAAGTCTGGAAAAGGAGGTGCAGACTTCCTGAGAGAGGAGGAAAAAAACTTTATACTTACTGTGGAGTTAATTTTGGTAATGGTCGTCCAAATGCTACAACAGGCAAGAAGGGGGTAATCATCAAACTTTCAACTATGGAAGAAAATAAAATGGGACCTTGTTAATGACATAGATGGGAAATGTCTAACTATATCTGCTTCCAAAATACAGTTCATTCATTCAGAGCAAGCTGTATTCTGGCACCTCGAACCATTTTCTTCTTTGAAAAACCTACTTTTTTAAATAGACAAAAC